GGAAACAATGACTATTGCCTGATAATAAGTTGTAATTGCACACACACACTCGGTAAAACAAATGAAACAAAAAAAAATAAATACATAAGCAAAACGAAAGAAATAAATTTCTTACCATTAAAACCTCAAGGAGTCCGTCATGAAGCTGTCAATGTTTGCATTTAGAAAATCTCGGGCAACCCTGGTTGCTATACTCGCTAGCCTTGATTTTGATCGCAAAATAGCACGTGACTGGATTTGCGCCCTCTTTATGAAAACGGTGTATTAACATGACTAGCTAAGTCTATTAATGCACGTCATATATGTATCATTTATTGGCTTGATAAGCATTCAACTTCCATGAGAATGTCCACATAGGTTGCAGCGTTACTGCTTCTTTGTAGTTATATTCCATGTACGGATTATTATTATTTATGTTTGTTTTAGTATTGCTCTGTGTAACTAGATGGTGTATCAAGTTTGTACCCAGACTAAAAACAGGGACTGTTCTGTCATCACCATATTGTTTGGGACACCAGAACAGCTTATTGCCAGCTAGGTTGTTTGACTGGTTTGCTCTGCGCGTCTCAATATCGTTAAAGGATTGGAACAAGCTGGGTCAAGCCTTCCTGAGGGACACATTGATTTTTAGTCTATGAAATTTTCTTTCAATATATTTCATCCAATTGTATGAATTACTGTATGCCAAATGGCAAAGTTATTCAACTAAATTAAACAAATTATATGTACTGATGTAGTCTCGCATATCGGGACAGTGTCACTGAATACCAAAACTGGGACTTGTCTTTGGGGTTCTATGCAGCCATCATTTGTCAGAAATGCCTGTACCAATTTTGTTCAAGGCTGGTACAAAAACAAGTCCACAAACATTTGATTGTCTGGTGACAATTTTTGCCCCAACAATTGTAACATGTCATCAACAGTTTTTCTGGCACATCTGGGTTGATTTTATTTAAAATTGAGATTTAAATCACACATGATGGGTTACTGATGCTCGTCATTTTGTTTTGTGATTTAATTAAAAAAATGGATCACTGGCTTCTTCTTATTTCGCAGATACAGACTATGTTTATTATTGGTACAAAGACAAGACATTGTGGGTTGCATGTTCCCTTCAGTTAATTTTGGATTTTGGTGTAATTTTCATAAAAAAAAAATTCTCTGGCATACCTTGCCAAACTTGTCCCATTTTCTGGGATGTATCTTGACGGATATTGAGTAGGTTCAAAGACAAGTCATGATTGTATTCATATGCACAATAGTTCCACAAACATCTCTGGTGTGTCTTTGTCTAGTTTCATTCAAAATTGTTGTTGGTTTACTTATGGTAGCCTACCTATTTCTCATTCAGAAATACAAGACATAACGGTGTGAATATTTCTAGTGATCAGTTTCAATGTCTATACTGGTTTCTCTTCGCTAATATTTGAATGCGCTGTATTCGGAACCAATTCTAAATTGGCAAATTCAATATAAATGAAAAAAGCTATTTTTCCAACGATAAATTACAAACAAACAAATCTACACTTATTTAGTTATTTATGATATCTAAGGCCATGTATTTCTTTTTTAAAGACGGGGACTGTGATATTTTTTTCATGATTTGATTTAAAATGGTGTCCATTTTGTTTTAATTTCAAGTGTCCTTACCCAAGCCATTGAGTGATTTATCATACCATTTCAAATGTCAAATTCATTTACTTGCTGTAAAGGAGATCTCATTTTTTTATGTTTTCTATGTAGACTTAGATTAGTGTTATTTATTATTGTGAGACTTTGAAAAATATATGAATAATAGACTAATGAATCTGTTCGGATGGCAGTGGGCCTTGAATGAGTACAAGTCAGTCTTCATGCAAGTTTCCATGGTAATGTACTGAAGTCATGGAGCCAGCTAATTAGTGATGACACAGAATTCTGTGCCATCATTCACCAGACCATTCTTGAGTGTACTGGGAAGGGCCTTGAATGGCTGGATTCCAGGCTGATGTAGTCTATACTTTGCTACTCCTGTAAAATCTGTATTAGAAGCCACAGCTTCTATAAAATGGTACAATGCAACAGATGTGGTTTCTATTAGAGCATTTACACATATGAGAAATGGTGATTTTTTTGGGTCTTAATTGTTCAAAAAGAATAGTTGCGTTTTTCATTAGGATGCTGTTTCTAATACAAATTTTACTGTACTATACACTACCAAGAACACTTGTTGTCTGTTTGTATTTGCACTGATGATACAATGATCACATAGCACATTCAGACACATAACTTTAAATATTTCATAGCGAACAAACCAAATTCATGTTTCTTTTGTGTTTCAGGTTTTCAATTCATCAGGGCAGAGGGATTTGTATTTGCTCATGTTGCTGATGAAGGGATCATGAATTGTTGCGCCGGGGAGTTGCTAAGATACCGTAAACAAATAGGAGCTGATGATGTCCAAGTATTTACTGATATCAAGAAGAAACATAGGTAAGGCAAAAAAATGAGTCTTTCTAGTTACCTTGTGTTTGTATGTATGTATGGATGTATTGTAAAATACTTTATTTTAGCTGGAATTAATTTTCGCTGAAAAGACTTTTTT